AAGAGCAACAGTCCTTTCAAAATAAGAATTCCCTTGCTGTTTGCCTCCTTTTGGAACACAATGGGAACAGACTGAGGGAGGACTCGAAGCTGTCAACGCCTCCTCCTAACTTCTACCGCACCTTTCCTTTGCCAGGAAAAAATAAAATAAAGCTGCTGAAGTTAAACAAGAGCTTAATGAATAAGTCAAAATAATTGTTTAGCTTGGATATAAGGCCCTAGGTAAACAGATATTTGCTAAGATGGGGGGGGGGGGACTAGAAAGAACTGCTCTACAGGACACCACTTGTTCTGTCTGAGGGCAAAAGCCCAGTGGCCTTGGCTTGCCTGAGGGCTTCCTCGCTCAGCTATTTCTCTTCTCTCCAGCATATTGAAGCAATTCAGCATCAGAGGGGCTCTTGGAAGCAGGAAGAAAGATAACTTTCCATATAGATAAATATATGCTTAAAATGTCCTTCTTCCTCCAGTAGCAAGAAGGTTCAGTTTGTTTTTATTCAAACTCATGTTGAAGACTTTCTAAGGTATGTGCTGCCTCTTGCCTTCCTAGTATTTTCAACACGGCTTAATTCTCTCCAAAAATAATCATTTACTACCTCTAAGGGCTACCAAGAGGGTTAGGGGTCATCGGGTCCTCAGACTGTAACTGTAGCTGTGCACAGCATAAGCCCTGAAGCTGACTGTCTGGTATGGTCATTGTTGGTCATCATTCCTGTTGATGGTTTCTATTCTGTTTTGTATTTAGGTGTTTTCCATAGAAACTTGTTTGCCATTGTCTCTTTCCCTAAAGGTGGGGGGGGGTCCATCATGAAAATTCTGCTTACTTGAGAACTCAAATAAGTTAATTACAAAGCCCATCAGTTCTGCTGGGTGATATTCCAGTAATCATTTTCCATCCCTGACTTGAAAGGAATAGATACCCTGTTGATCCAGAACAGAAGTTAGGATCTTATCCCACTGCTATTCTCACTGAAATGCTTTTTGAATAAACATCTATTTGACTAAATCCTGGATTTGCTGAGGTAAGAGATTCCCCAGAATTCAGTCTGTAGGAATTATATTGGCCACGTACCTGATTCATCATCATATAGGAATCAGAACATACATTAGCAAGGAAAGGCTAGTGTTTAATAGCTTGTGTGTTTTCAGTACAGATAATATAAGAAAGAATGTCAAGAACATGGACTCAAGGGTCAGCTCAGAGTTTAAGCACAAATTCTTACAACCTATACTAAGTTTGGACACATTAAATTTCCACTGACCTTCTTTTCTTCAGCCACACAACGTGCTAATGACAACAATAATGACAATGAATAATAATACCTACCTCAAATTATTGAATTGATAATAATTGATAATGACACAATACATATAAAACGCTCAGCCCAGCCTACATAGCCAATAAATGTTGACCATATTTTTTTCACATATCGTAATTTCCTCACAATAAATCTTGTAAAGGGGGCAAAGTAACTCTGTGATTCTGTAAGATCCATGCTATAAACTGGACTTCAAAAGCAATTATAGACTTATCCTGTGTACTTCACTGTTCCAGCATGCTGGTCCTATCAGTACAAAGATCACCTAATTCCTAGTGTGTCCCCTCTACCTCTGCTAAGCAGTGCTCTCCCCCATATCCTTACATCTAAAGTCTTCCATGGCAAAGCATCTCTGTACCTCACATCCATGGATGGGCAACAGAAATGAACCCTGTGCAAGGTTTTAAAACCAACCTCAATGCCACACAGAAAACTTTCCTCAGAAAATTCTGAGAAAATGGTACCCTTATGGCAATTCTTTGAATACTGAAAGAAAATATTGAGAGAGAAGTCAATTCAAATAATAAGGCTAAAACCTCTGAGGAAAGCCCAAGGTATGACAGAGCCCAAAGGTCAACAAAGCCACAGACCCAAACAGCTTCATACCTAGTCTCGCCTGTCGTCTTAGGGTTACTATTGCTGCAACGAAACACCATGACCAAAATACAAGTTGGGGAGGAAAGATTTATTTGGCTTATACTTCCACATCATTGTCCGTCGTTGAAGGAATTCATGATAGGAAATCAAACAGGGCAGGAACCTGGAGGGCAGGAGCCGATGCAGAGGCCCTGGAGGGACTCTGCTTACTGGCTTGTTCCCAATGGCTTGCTCAGCCTGCTTTCTTTTAGAACCAAGAGCCACCAGCCCAGGGATGGCACCACTCACAATGGGCTAGGCCCTCCTCCATTAACCAAAAATTAATAAAATGCCTTACAGCTGGATCTTGTGCAGGCATTTTCTCAACTGAGGTTCCTTCCTTTCAGATAAGTCTAGTTTGTGTGTCAAGCTGACCGAAGACTAGCCAGCACACCTATGCTTGGATTTTTAAAATTAAAATATAATCATGTCATTTTCCTCTACCCATTTCCTCCCTCCAGCTCTTCCCATGCACCTTGCTTATTTCTTTAACTGTTGTTTTACACACACACACACACACACACACACACACACTTACACTCTGAAATCTATAAACACAACTTTCATAGTCCACATAATGTTGCTTGTACATATGATCACAAGACTGCTTTCTTGGTGTTGGAGAACCAATTCATGGGCTCTTCCCTAGGGAAGATGATTTTTTTCTCTCTCTCAACATTCCTCAGTTGCTTCAAGTTCTTTGTCTAGTGTTGATGCCTGGTAAGATGCTCCCTTTCCATGTGTGAGCAAGCCTGTTTGTGTCATCCCTATCAGGCCTTGCTTAGGCAGCCATGTTGATGAGACTTCTGGGTATAGCTTCTCTGACATTTTTAGGATATGAAGTCTCAGGGCAAATTCTTGTTCCTCTGGCTCTTACAATCCTTCACCTCTTCTTCTGCTCTGGTCCCCAAGCCCTTGTAGCTGCAGAAGTTTTGTTCCACGAATGTATCAGTTGACTTGTCACCACATGGCCACTTCTCTGTAGCACATGTCTGTCACACATAATTACAAGCTATAAATTCATTGACATTAGCACTGAGTGAGTTTGTGATGCTCCTGCTATCTTTTTCTGAGTGGCTACCATAGCCTTTCTCCCCCAAGTCATTGTATTCTCACTTACAAAATAAGGACTATAATAATATTTCTCCTCTCTAGGCTATGGTAGACATTCAGCGTAAGACGAGTGACAAAACAAAACAAAAAAAAAACCCACTATGGTAGGTTTGGGGAAAGGTTTTTGTAATCAGAAGTGTTGCAAATGTAGGTGTCCAAGATAATACACAGTAGAAGAAAACATTTCCTTCTGAGTGGCTCTTGTTCAGCTATTGGCTCTGTGTGTGTGTGTGTGTGTGTGTGTGTGTGTGTGTGTGTGTGTGTGTGTGTGTTGCCACAGAGGTATTGCTACCTAAGCCAGGCTACTTTGGAAGTCATGATCCTCCTTGCTTCAGCCTCCTGGGTATCAGAATAACATTGGTGTGCACCACTACACTCAGCAGATAACACTCATGTCTTACTTAATTTTTCATCTCTTCCTTCATCTTTTGACTTTCCTTTATCTATTCTAAAATTAATTTTAATTTTAAAAATTAACACATCCTTTTCTAGTCCTTAAGCTGTAAGAATCTCCAACACTAAAGCACAGTGAAATATCAGATTACACAAAGCGGGACACATAACGTACAAAGCAGAGAACATTCCAAGAGCACACGCTTGTGCATTACATCCCCAGCTTCCTCCTGTGGGAGACTCTTCACTTTGTCAGTTGCAGGGGTAGCAGTGGCTGAAGCTCTCACTTGGGTTTGGTAACATCAAAGATTAGAGAGTGAAGATGACTGTCCCTCCTCTCTGTTCCCAGGCTGAGGCTCCTGCGCAGTTGGGGGAAAGTGGCTTATGGGAAGTGTCCCATTGTTCCTGGCATTGTTGCTTCTAGAGCACTGGTTCCCAACCTTCCTAATGCTGTGGTCCTGTAATACAGTTCCTCATGTTATGGTGACCCCCAATCATAAAACTATTCCCTTGCTACATAATTGTAATTCTGCCACTGTTACGAATCATGATGTAAATATCTGTGTTTTCCGATAGTCCAAAGGGTTCACAACCCGCAGATTGAAAACCATTGTTCTAGAACCTTCCCTGACTCAGTTCTTCTGGAAATAGATTCTTGATCATTTATTTCTGCATCTCCTTGGAGTCTATATGATATGTAATAATTGATGGAACAATCACTTAGTGTCTACCAAGTACCAGACGGTACACAAAGTTCAGTGGAGAAATGCACACATAATGTGCATGTCCCCTGCTTTTCAGGAGACTGGAAGAAGGCAGGACAACAGACACTGCCAAGTAGCCAGGACTGTTGTAGATACCCAATCAGATACACTTTCAACATGTCCTTTACATTTGACGGGACACCTGAAGCAGACAGAAATATGCTTCCCAAGATAACACAGGTAGCAAGTGCCCAAACTAGGTTTCTCCAAGGTCTGTTTTATTCTCAAGTCTACTGTGTCCTCTCTACTTGCTTTCCTCCCTGGCTTGGGAAGGTGGGGCATACATACCAAAAAGAGAAATGAAGGCAGCTACTAGAAGCTGCAAAGAGATAAGTATTGGAAACACTGCAGACTACCAGGAGAACAAGGTAGGGAGAAGTCTAAAATACCTGTCACTGAGCTGACAGGTTTTAATGTTCACCAATGGCACAAGCTAGGGGCAAAGAAGGTGGACACCATCAGAAAATAATACCCTCCAGGTTCAGCTACTCCATCTGTCCAGTCACGGGGAGAATAAAATGATGGTGGAAACTCAGTTGAAATTTTCACAGGCCAGGTAAATACAAGAGAGTGGTGGTTGATTCAGTGTAGTCTTGGCAGATTCGTTACATTTGGCAATAATTAAGCACCCCAGTCCCACCCAGCACCAAAAGGGGTGGCTTTTCTCTTAACATCCTGTGTTGGTTCCGCTGACATAACTGGTTAGCAGCATTTGCTGAGGAAAAGTGAATATACTTGACAATATTTTCAAACATTTGTTTGGATCTTCTGTTTCCTAGGAGATGTCCGACTAAGGGGTCAGACCGGGGTTCCTGCTGAACGCCGCGGCTCCTACCCATTCATTGACTTCCGTCTACTTAACAGTGAGTAACCAATTGTACCTGGAAAGGAGTAAATGTTTTCTTTGGGGGGGGAACCTACTTCATTTCCCTTGAACTTCAAAATCTTGCAAGGTCTGCCTTCCTTCCTCTGCCTCTGTCCCCTCAACTAGAACTTCAGACTTTGTCTCTCAGTTCCTCGAACTCAGAGCTGACCATGTCTCTCACATCAGCGTTGAAAACAAGCTGACAGCTTTTAATACCAGCACTAGGGAGGCAGAGACAGGAGGCTCTCTGTTCATTGGAGGCCAGCCTGGTTTACATAGTGACTTCCAGGACAGCCAGAGCTATGTAGAAAGACCCTGTTTCAAAAGAAGAAAGAGAGAGAGAGAGAGAGAGAGAGAGAGAGAGAGAGAGAGAGAGAGAAATAAAAAGTTAAGAGAAAAGGAAAACACAATCCTTCACAACTATAACCTTTACACAAGTGCTCTTTTCGTCTTCCAGCACATTCTCTTCACCTGAAGCCAGGGCAGGGCTCTAGGAGGTGCTCAAAGTTTTTTTAAATTTCACAGTTAACGCCTAGAATACCTCCTCCCATTACTAACTCTCTCCTCTTGTTCTCCTATAAACTACTTTTACTTCTCAGTGACCCTTCATTAAAGGGGGTCCTACCCATCCACACTGCGGCTTCCTTCCCTCTTCCTGATGAACTTGGTGGCTTCCTTCCCTCTTCCTGATGAACTTGGTGGCTTCCTTCCTTCTTCCTGATTAACTTGGTGGCTTCCTTCCCTCTTCCTGATGAACTTGGTGGCTTCCTTCCCTCTTCCTGATGAACTTGGTGGCTTCCTTCCCTCTTCCTGATGAACTTGGTGGCTTCCTTCCCTCTTCCTGATGAACTTGGTGGCTTCCTTCCCTCTTCCTGATGAACTTGGTGGCTTCCTTCCCTCTTCCTGATGAACTTGGTGGCACACCCCTACTTCTCCTTCCATTGTTACTTAATCTTACATTCCTTAGGAAATTCTAACCAGCAGCCAGTCGTTTCTCCAGATTTTATATCTTCTATCATGGTGATCTTTCACCTCAGACTTGTGGAGGATGGAAGGAGCTGCCAATAATAGATTTCACAATTTGCCCCAAGGTTTTTGCTGTTTGGTTCTCACATCCCTACCCATCTATAAATTTCAAAGTGCTGGATGGCATCCACACAGTATTACTTTCCTTTGACATAAACAAGCTCCACACAGGCAGTAATTTGATTTGCCTCAACCCCTGGAAATGACTAGGAAAATTTAGACTTTGCTATTTCTAATCCTTAGATCATCGGTGAAAGGCCAGTAGAAGATGGACATGTTTGTGTTTCTCTTACCTTTGTTCTGTGCCTGTTTTTTCAACTCTTCCCAGGGTGTAGAAACAGAATAACTTTTTCAATACTAGCAGCAAACACCCCCAACACTTTTTAAAAACTCAGCACTGTGCCACATCTAGACCACCAAATGCAGCCTGTGGGAGCTAGACCATTGCAACAGTGAATCCCACCTGTAGGAGCTAGGCCCATGCAACACTGAATGCAGCCCGTGGGAGCTCAGATGGTACCTCTGACCTCTCCTTCTGATCCCACACAGGCTGTCCTAATTCCCCATGGAAGCTACACTGCTGGCAGTCTCCTGACTGTATAAATGTCTGGGTCACCAGGCAGGAGGTCCCACAAAGCAAGCAGGCATTATTCATCTACACCAGAAGCAGGCATTATTCATCTACACTGTAATTCTCCAATGGCGTCCCAGGGAGAAAATTATGAAAAAGCCTCTTCCCAACAATAGCTAGATGTTACTTCATGGTATCTAATATAATCAACAAACAAATGAGAAAACCAGGAGTTAGGTTTTATAAGGCCAAGGGTTTAAATAATTCCTAATTCAACCCCAATGCTCCTGCCAATTATGACAGTCTTTGTAGTGATATATGGAATAGTTAACTGACTCTACCAAAGGTCTCTGCATATGAAAAACCAGTTTTAAAACTCATTTTCTTCTTAATCTGAAAAGTGTGTTTGTGTGTGTGTGCACTGCAAATAGCCATCATTTCTATATACCAGTCATATTTGAAAGAGTATCTGTAAGTGGCTGCCACCCTCTGACCCTCTACAGGAGATCCTCAAGGAGCCTCCTGGTGTCTGGGCCCTGTCTGTTGTTTCTAGGCCTTTCTGATCTCCACCTCCATTTCTCTGCACCTGTTATTCAGAACCTATCCACTCATCTTGTAAAAATATTGACCATCTACCCTGAAATTCCCTTTCCATTCCCCTTAGCACTCTATTCTACGTAATTCTTTCACTCCTTTCTCTTTTATATGATATCCTGAGACAGTCCTAATTTCCCTTCACTATATTTTTTTAAGTGGCCTCAGTATCCTAGATGTCTAAGATATGCCACTAAATAAACTATAAAGGTCCTAAACTCAACAACTCTTTGTATTTACTAGCTACTCGGTAACTACATGGTTAACTTACCAATCCCATTAAGTACTCCTCTGAAAAAAGGCTGTATTAAATAGTCATAAACGCAAGCCATTGCTGCCTTTAACTGGGCAGCACAGAGTGTCTGAAGAACTGTGAGGTCAGTATGTATGCGTGACGCAGTCCATCCCTCTCGATCCATCCCTCTCTATAATGCCCGTGGGCTGGAAGTCGGAGCATGAACCACGGCCATTGCTGTGATCCCTTTGTGGCTTCCTAACTTGGTAGCCATAGAAGCTTGTCACTAGGTGGGGACAGGTATGTGGGCATCCCTGTAAAATCCAGTCACATAAAGTGTATTATACGTATCACATCTCCGCTCCTTTATAAAGTATGCTGTCTGTTTAATTCTTTCTTCACTCCCTCCTTGAGGTTTACCTGTGTAGTTAAAGATGTGTTTTGTGCCTAAAGAAAGGCATTTTAGAGCATTTTGGAAGTTTCTCCTGCAACTTTGATTGTACCCACCAACTGAAATTCTACACAAAACTGCCAAATTGGTTTAACATATTTATTCTTTTGTAATATATGCTTTATATGCATATGTGTGTATATTTGTGTGCAAGTGTGTGTGTGTGTGTGTGTGTGTGTGTTTGTAGACCAGAGGTCAATGTTGCATATCATCATTCTCAACTGCTCCCCACTCTATTTTTGTAGGTAGTGTCTCTCATTCACATCTCCCACCCCTCACCCCGTCAGGGTGACCAGCCAACAAGCCCTGGGAACCCTCCGTCTCTGCCTCTTCTGTGTTGGGATGATAGGCAGGCACCACTGTCCCTGGATTTTTTAGGAGTGCTGTGGATCACACTCAGGACCTAGTACTTGGAGGGGTGAAGACAGGCAGATCTCTTTGAGTTCAAAGCCAGTCTGGTCTTCATAGGGTGTTCCAGGCCTGTGAGGACTACATAGTGAGAGCTTACTAAAAAAAAAAAAAAAAAAAAAACCCATGCAGTGTCCGTCCACCCCTCCTCATGCGCTCATGTGTGTGCTCAGCAAGCACTTCACTCACCGAGCCATTCCCTCAGTCCCTGGCAATATTTCCTTTGCGTCCATTTCTTTTTTCAAGAGAAACGCAGACTCATCATCATTCTTCTCAAATGATTGTAGTTTTGCTTTCTCTCCTGAGACAGAATCTGATGTAAGGCTTAAAAATAAATCATTATTTATAAGTTTAAACTTAAAAACAAATTCATTGTAGGAAAAAACAAATCATAAAACTCCTATTCCTAACCCCACCACACAGCTGCCATTCCCTACCCAGAATGCTCTTGGCTGCTTCTCACCTACTTCAGTCCCTGCCCTAACACTCTGACCTGTGCATACAGAACAAAATGTGTATTGAAGAGGAAGGTCCATTGCACTTTCTCATTAGGCACAACTCCAACCTGTCACAGCAGACGGGGCATCAGAATTAATACCTACAATAAGTTGTCTTCCATCAGAATGGTGTTTGTGGATATTACAACACATTGCTGAGACAGAGGTGGTAAACGACAGCCAGTGCCCCAAATATGTCCCCCTGCCTCTTTTGGTAAACACAGTCTTGGTGGAATGCTGTCGTGGCCATTTTCTGATAGGTCATCTAGGGCTGCTGTGGTACAAAACGGGTAGGGACACTACAGCAAAGCCCAAGTGATCCACAAAGCCAAACTTACCTGCTGCTGGATCCTTGAGAGGAAAAAGTTACCACGCCATATTGTAGACACCTTTATACAGATTTAGAGGGTTTTATGACTCGGGGAACACATTCAGTCCAGGCCAATTTCCTTCGCTATTCTCATTTCCTTTCCACTTTCAATAACCATCCTTTACTTTTAAGAATGAACTTAACATTGGCTAAATTTACACATACCAAAAGCAGAAAGAGAAAACAAACTTCCTTATTGATCTAGGTATAAAACTAATTTGAAATGATTATTCTTAATTATACACACATTATTTTGGGGGGAAAATCCCTTGCTATGCACAGGGAGGAAGACACAGTGTTTCCTTACCTACCACCCTACCTAATAAGGTGGTTAAACACTTGGTCTATCTCTCACGGTCCTCATTTTGGGTGTGTGTGGGGGGGGTCCAGCATTCTTAATAATTACAGTATCTTCCCTTTCTGTTCTGTTTTGAAGAATAAATTACAGACCAGTCAATTGTAAATGTTTGCCCACAAAAGAGTACTTGGTACAAAGCCACGCAAAGAAGGCATGTAAGACTAGATGGCTCAGTGAGTTTGATTCCCAGCACTCACCTGATGGCGCATCACCCACCATCTGCGACTCCATTCCCAGGGGATCTAACACCCTCTTCTGGCCTTTGCAGGCATCAGGCATGCATCTGGTGCACAGATACACAAGCAGGCAAAATACCCATACCTATAAAATAAAAACAATATTTTTAAAAAGAACTTAAGAAGTGCAATATAGTGACTGCAGTTAGGAACAGCTGAATGGGAACTGGTAAGCTAGCTCAGTGACTAAGAGTACATACTGCGCCCCAGCTATTGGCAGCTACCTGGGTTTCCTTGTACAAGGCAAGTGTT